CTGCTTGCTTGGCAAGAAAATCAACTCAGAGAGCTTAACTGCTGAGAGGCCAATCAAAATCCTTACTGCAATGGCACAAGCACAAACCTGTGGTCAGGTATTCCCCAAAAGGTAAGCTTTTAAGAAGTCATTCCCACCCTAAGCTTTTGGCCAAGATGTACACAGATCATTTTGAGAAGAGAAGATTATTTAGCCTACTGGAAAAGTCAGCAAGCTATTATGAAGTCTTAGGCAAACTACTTAACTTCTTTGCACATTTCTCTAAATGTAAAATGGGAAAATACTTTTTCCTGCTCAAGAATGTGGTGAAGCTACTGAAGATAACAAAAAAATCTTATCCCCTCACCCTCCAAAAAGAAAAAACAAACAGCAACAAAAACTCAAGGATGTAAAGACAGGGAATGTTACACAGGATTAAGAACAGAGAGAATCTGGGAATGGATCTGTACTTGCTAGCTATATGATCTCAGGAAAGTTACTTGCTCTTTCTATGCTTTAATTTCCTCATCTGTAAAATGGGAGTAATAACACTCATAGGGTTTGTGAGGACTAAATGACTTCATATAAATAGAGGGCTTAAAATAGCATCTGGTAAACAGTAAAAGCTATATGAATTGGTTATTATTAATAGTATTTAAGTCTAAAATGTCTTATGGATAAAACAGCTAGTTCAGGGGCTGGGGAGATGGCTCAGTAGAATAAGTACTTGCCTGGCAAGAGCAAGGGCCTGAGTTCAATCCCTGGCTCTGCCAAAAAAAAAAAGAAAGAAAGAAAAAAAAAAAAAAAAAAAGAAAAGAAAAGAAAAGAAAAGAAAAGAACAGCTAGTTCTCTACAAAATGAAAGGTACTGGGGCCGGCCAGATAGCTCAGAGGACTAAAGTGCCTGTTTAGATAGGCACAGGGACCAGGGTTCAATCCCCCAGCATGCTATGCCAGCCCCACCCCTGGGGCTTGCTGAGATGGTAACTAATTCTGGGTGTGGTAGCCTGGGCATGATAGCATGCGTTTGTAATCCCATGGTTGGGAGGTTGAAAACAGGAGGATCACTGAGTCTGATCTGTGTAGTGAGACCCTGTAGACCCTATACTAAATACATAGGGGGGAAAAAAAAGGCATTATCAAAAGCTGAATACAAAAAGAACAAACTGGACATCTGCCCCACCAACTATTCAAGGGTCTAAAGGCTGGGCATATAGGCCAAGGAAATATAGTTTGAAAAATGGCAGGGAAACCTTGCTGAATTATTTTCAAATAGAAGGAATGTAAATGGTATTAAATGTGTAATTCTGAGAAGTGCTGAAAATACACTTAGGAAAAAAATGTAAAAAATATAGACTTGGCAAATAGGAGGAATTCATTAATATATCCTTGGCCTGGAACAACACTGACTAAAATGATGGTACACCCAAAATTTTAGAACCCTAAGAAATTCAGGTAAAGAACAGTTCACAAATTTAAGGGCGATTTCACAAATGCAAGGATACGGGGAAACAGAGGTGAACAAAAAGAAACCACATTAAGCATCTGAGATCTCATAATACACCAGAGGACAGGAGAGCTCCTAGTTAGGTCATCTCTATTTCTGAAGCAATGATTGCTGTTTATTTAAATAAAAAAGAAGAGGCCATCAAGTGACTCCAGAAATTTCTTTTTTTTCTCCTCTCAAACACTGCTACAGGGGCTGGGAAGATGGTTTAGCAGAATAAGCACTTCCCTGGCAAGCACAAGGGCCTGAGTTCAATCCCTGGCTCCGCAAAAAAAACAAACAAAAACCACTGCTACATTTGCAGGAACCTTTTTGGGCCCATTCTGAAGCCTTTCTTGTATGGATGGAATACAATCAATTATCCTTCTACTGTATCCCAGGCCTCTGTAATGAACCATGTAAGCCAATTCTATTATACAAATACCATGAATCCAAGCAGAAGTCTTCGTGTAAGAAGAGGGCTAGATGCATCATCCAATATTCTAGATGGTTTCCAAATACAAAAACCAACCAGTCTGCTCCCTCCCAGTAGTTATAAGTGAGGGAATGTGAAAGGAATGTTAATGTTCAGTAATACTGAGCCTAATGGCACACAGGAATGGTAATAACATCCATCTCAATTGTGTACTAGCTTTCATTGGAGACATTCACACTCTGACTAATCAGTATCATCCCTTTTTTATGGCAGGGGACACAAAGAAGTGGCAAACAAGACTTCAAGGACTTGCCTAAAGAAGATACACTGACTCAGAAGTAAGCCTGAGGTTGAATCAGTGTCTTGATTTCCACTGAATCTGTGGCCCTTTCTGAGCAAGGCATACCTAAAAACTCCTACTCTTGAAGGTCCCTGGACTCCTATTCCCCTTCATGGAGTTTTTTGGAAGAGACTGCTCATAGATCCCACTCCCCAGTCATGGGCCATGCTGCCCAAAAAATCAGTACAAGAGCTGAGGCCACAAAAAAGCCATGTCTGGAACACCACATACCTTTGTCTTCCAGTGCTACCAAACCTTTTTTTTTTTTTTTTTTTTTTTTTTTTGCAGAACCAGAGATTGAACTCAGACCCTTGTGCTTGCCAGGAAAATGCTTATATCACTGAGCCATCTCCCCGGCCCTTTTTTTTTTTTTTTTTTTAAAAAAAAAAAAGACAGTATCTCACTATGCAGTTCAGGCTTGCCAGGACTCACTATGAAACCCAGGCTGGCCTTGAACTTGTGGTGATCTTTCTGCCCCAGCCTCTGAGCACTGGGATTACAGGTGTTTGCTATCACACCAAGCTAAAATGTTAGTTTAAAAGGTATCTAGGGCCAAGGATATAGCTCAGTAGTGCAGTACCTGCCTGGCAAGTATGAGTCCATGAGTTCAATTCCCGACACCAAAAAATAAAACACATCTAAGTATCTTATAGCTCACCACTGGACCATAAAGGATTATTATTTATGTTTTTATTAAAATTATGCATAAGGATTAATAATTGATGCTTCAGTTCTGGTTTAAATGAGAATTAGTAATTTACCACATTGGAGAATCTATAGGAAGAACACAGGTAAAGTAGGCTGTAGTTTTGAAAAGTTAATTGAATTAAACATTATTAACCAACTACTTCTTTCTGATTATTCCTTTAGTGCCCACAAAATTACAGAAAGAACAGACACCAGATGAAACGGCAAATCTAGATTCTGCAAAGAATGAATACTAACCATTATATACAGTTTTCTTAATAATGTCAAGAGAACCTTGGATTAGATCCTAGAGAAGTGATTCAGCAAGTCTTTCACCTAGTTGAGCCATTACTGACAGAGATTTTGAAAAGTTTGACTCAAATGTTTGATTTTTAACAACATCTAAAAGAATATTTACAAAGCTGCCCTTGTTGCCTATAGTAGTAGCCTGATACTCTGGCAAGAAAGATAAAAGCTAGGACATGATGTTTTAATTAAAGCAAGTGTGTATGTAGAGAACTATTGAATGGCACTCCACATACTACCTTAAAAGGAACAGCACAAGAGGTGAGAAGAGACAGCGTGAGTCAGTAGCGTTGAAGAGATTGACATGCAAGATTGAACAAATACAATGGATCTAGTGAATGCTAAAGCAGCTTGTTTTCAAGCATTCCTCTTTTAGTTCAATCTGCGTCACTTTGACTTTCCTTAAAGTTGTGTGGGAGAAAACAGGAATGAAATTCTGCAAAAAATACTTTGCATAAAAAAATGTGTAGATAAAAAATTCTCACAGTAAAACTTTTAAAAGAACTGTTTCTTAAAAAACAAAGCAAAACAAAAAACCCAGAACTGTTCCTTTGTCCTCGGCTGGTATAACAAATACCCAGGTAGTTGTGCTGTGGAAAAGGAATCAGGTTCCCCCTCTAGAGAGAATACCAATTAGTACAGCACTGATTAATTCAACTGATTGATTTATAATCTAGCAAGTATTCTACTTGTCTTTCCTGCCTGATACAGGTTTAAAAGAAATAGTAAAAATGCTTCTTGAGAAGCATACCAATGGAGTATGACTGATTTACTGTATCATAGTTAATTCTGAAAAAATGAAAGAAAAGATGGGACTATTTTACATAAGTTCACTAAAAGTGACTATACTTTTTTTTTCTTTTCTTTTTTTAATATATTTAGTACACAGTCTACAGGGTCTCACGACATAGATCAGACTTGGAGTGATCCTCCTATTCTCAGCTTCCCAAGAGCTGGAATTATAGGTGTGCACTACCAAGCCCAGTCTCAATGTGCCCCCAGGGGCAGCGCCGGCACAGCACGCTGGGGATCAAACCCAGGTCCTTGCATCTTACCTAAGCAGGCGCTTTAGTCCACTAAGCTATCTGGCCAGCTAGTTCATTAAAAGTGAATGAGGGGGAGAAATTCAACAAAAGTCTAATCTTTTAACTAAAAAAAAAAAAAAAAAAAATTTTGACATTGAAGACTGAACTCAGGGATTCATGCCTACTAAGCAAAAGTTCTACCAGCCTTAACCATGAATTTCTAATACTCTGTGGCATTCACCACTTAAATTATAACAAAAGAGCTATCTGAGATTAAGATTCAAAAAATGCTGTAACTTCCAACAGTTCTAAGAAACAAGAATCTCCCAATTGTGGTCTAAAAGCCCATGCAGAAGTTCCACTTCTGGTGGAAATTTACATTAACATATTATAGCAAACATTCCGAATCAGAAGCTACTACTGAAATCTCAATATCTTCAAACCGTTTCCCTTTCTTCTAAGAGGCAAGTGAAGGTCACTTAACCACTTTCCTCAAACAAAAGAAAGAGCACTGTGGTCCAAGGGTTGGGACATTCCCAGTTCCTACTGGATGATCAGTTATCATCACAAATCTTATTCAGTGTAGTCAAATCCAGACAAATGGGTAAGTCCCGCAACTTAACCATAAGGCTTTGAGTTCCCTGTGAGCAGGGGACATGTTTTATTCATTCCTACATTGCCAACATGTAACACACAGTATTATGACATTTTTGTAACTAATGAACATTTGATAAAATATTACCATGTAAAATGTCTGAGTCATCTTCAACAAAATCAATGTCTCTCAAGTCCCATTCTGCATAATTGTCAAATTCCTGGGAAAAAAAAAATCCCCCCAACACATCATCAGCTTTAAATAATGCTTCACAGTAGTTCTGCTTTAAATGCAACAAGAAAATAATATGCGCTAACATTTATTTTAAAAAAATACTACATGAGCTGAAAAGCAAGAATACTGTACAAAAGGAAATCATGAAAAAAATCTGAGAGGCTCTCAGGCAGTAATAAAAACAAAAATTAGAGTAGTTATGAATTTAAGAATGAAAAAAAAAATCTATTCTAAAAGTTCTACATTTCCCAGGTGTGGCAGCACACTCCTATAAGTCCACCACTAGATGCTGAGGCAAGAGGATTCCTCTGAGTTCAAGGCCAACCTGAACTACACAGGTAAGACCTTGTCTCAACAAATAAACAAGTAAAACTTTTAGGTGGTTACTTCTCAAGGAAATAAAAGCTTAGACCTTCAAATATGAAAACTGTCTGCATTAAATTATTTTCTTAAGGATCTATTTACTCATTTTTTAAATTCAGTTCAATGAATAGCTTTTTTTTTAATAATCTATACAATGACTATAACTTGTGGAGGTGGTATGTACAGGGTACTGGTACACCACAAACTGCCATGAACAAAATGCTGATGTATATATGGCTATAAAAATGTCTGCAATTGGTGTTAACTCAGTTATCTGAGGAGTTATGTTATCTCAGGAGCATGGTAGCTGTGGACTAGATGACAAATCAAGATACTTGTAACTACATTTACATGGTTTTTAATTCCAGGCTGGATGAAAAACACATAGTATTTATATATGTTCAACACTGATTTATACACTTATAGCAAAGTGTAGGAATTAGCAAACTGTTATTATATAATCCGCTACCCGAAGGGGCCAGGGAGATGGCTCAGTGGAATAAGCGCTTCCCTGGCAAGCACAAGGGCCTGAATTCAATTCATGGTTCCGCAAAAAAAAAAAAAAAAAAAAAAAAAAAAGAAAAGAAAAGAAAAAAAACACTACCCATTTGTGGTACAAAATGTTTTATTAGCATTCATGCACATTAATCTGTTCATGTATTACCTATGCTGCTCCTGTATAAGAAAAGCAAATTGGGGGTGAGGGGGATTACCAGGTACAAACACAAATTCCCTATGGTGAATGTTATCATATGTATATCTAAAAAATACCAATAAAATAAAGATGGTTAAAAAAAAAAAAAAGGAAAGGTTAACCACAATGAGAAATTTATTATCGGGCCCTTAATGGGACACGTCTGCCACATCATGATACAGTGCAACTTTGAAATCCCCTATTCCTGGGATGAGCCCTAGACTGCAGAGACTCCATACCAACACCTATGCAACTTTAGAAATAAATTCTTGGCGTGAAGAAATTTCATTGTTCCACAAATAAAAAATGCATACAAATCAAAGAAAGAACTTAAATTTTTAAAAATGTGTCTGCATAAAAGTCCTACAAATAATAATGTTTTGATAAAAGTTATTTTGGTGGTATGGAGCCATTGCCAAGAGACAGAAGCTGCATAAGAAACAAAAATGCTTTTTCTTTTATGCTAAAAAGAAGTTTCTCCTACCCACCTCAATGAAATCTGCTCGAGCTGGCATGTATCCTGCCATGTCCCGAGAAAGCAAGGAGTCAAAGGTAGGTCGGGGAGGGTCATCTGTAGCTGGAAAAATTAAAAGTTTTTCTTATTTACTAAGATACTGACACAAAAAAAGTCACACAGAAACAGTCCTTTTGTCCATTCTGAAAAATTCTGGAGAAAAAGTGTCTGACAGAATAAATTTAAAAGGTTTTTACAAAAAGAAAAGGGAAAAAGATGGTAAATTAGTATGGAAACACTACTTCCTTCAAAAAGGAAATTCAGACTTAGAAAATATGGTGAAATTCCTTTTGAATTTTGCTTTCCCATAATGAAAGGAAACCAAGATATTTTTCTTCTACTATTATAGAACTTATTACAGTGTTGAATTTAGCTCCTTTACCTCTTAGAACCAACCTCAATTTCCACATTACCATCCAACTAAGAAACAAAAACACACTGTATTTGGAAGTTAGCCAACATATGGTGTCCCAGCTCCAAAATACAGTAGTCCCCATGACCTTACATAATATTTAATCTTTCTAGTCTCAGTTTCCTCGTGTGTGAAAGGAAAGCACCCATTCTGCTTATTTCATTGAGTTGTTCTTTTTTTGTGTGTGTGTGTGTGGAACCAGGGATTGAACTCAGGCCCTTGTGCTTGCCAGGGAAGCACTTACTCCACTGAGCCATCTCCCTGGCCCCCATTGAGCTGTTCTTGAAAGTACTAACCTCCTAAATGTTACTCAAATAGAAGATATCATCAGCCTCTGAGTTAGTTTTAAAACTGTTTCTAAGAAGAGTGAGGAAAGGAAAGAAAAACAAAACATTCACATCTCCATTATTGTGCTCTGGAAGTCATTTAAGAAAGATATCCATTTATAATTCATCACACTTCTGGTTATATTTTATTAAAAGACCAACTGGTCCTGCAGGCACAGGAGATTTAAAAATGTTTGCCTTTCTGCTATAATCAAATGAATTAAAATTACAAATTGCTCATTAGGCTTGGCACTAGGGCAGTTAATAATAATGAATCAAATACTGGACCCTGTTAAGCAATTTATACCTATGTAGAATCAAGGAGTTGCAAAATGGCTTTTATCCTAATACAATGGACATGTCAGTCCTTTTTCACACATTCTCTTACAAAAGCATTACAGTTAAATGATAATTTAATGGACTTAGTAGATAGAACTATACATCGGCTTACAGTACTCAGATGTTCAGTTTAGTATGCAACTCTGACTCCTGTGATGGGTTCTTTTTTGCCACGTTATGGTCCTGACTCTCAATAGCTGCCATACCAATTCTAATCAAATCACTGTGTACCTGTCTTGATACAGAGGTCAAGGATGACCTAAGTATCTCTCACCAAAACTAGGTGGCACTTACAGTGAAATGGAATGGCTGTATCAGCAGTCTTTGCCTCCTCTGCTTGTTTCAGGTTTAGCAGGGTAGAAGCAAACAGAGGGTTATTGATGAAATGCTTCATGTAGTGCTTTTCGCACTCCTCCTTGGTCTTGGTACACATCTGATTGGCCACATCCTGCCTAGTGTGGGAAAAAGAGGGAAGGGAGTTATACCTTCACATAATACTAAAAGTATGGTTTGTTCTTTTCATATTTTAAATCAAATCCATAAAATACTAATAATCTACTACCTCCAAACTGATGTCATGGAAGTATCAGCTGAGCAATGACACAATATATACTGGTGTAATCTGATGTTCCAATTCTTACTATTCTAAAATATGGATTGGCATGGTGATGTACACCTATAATCTCAGCACTAGGGAGACTGAGGCTAAAGCAGAAGGATTGCCACAAAAGCAGCTCATTTACAGACTACTAAAATCCCATCTTCTTTTTTTGGCGGAACTGGGGCTTGAACTCAGACCCTTGTGCTTGACAGGGAAGCGCTTATTCTACTGAGCCATCTCCCCGGCCCCATAAAATCCCATCCTCTTGTGAAGTATTTCATACCTAGAAAATAATGCACAAAGGGAAAGAAAACTTGCCCCTGAACCCTGCTGGGTCAGTAAGATAGCAGCACAGCTTTCCTCTTCCTGAAGTTCCTCCCTTTACTTTTAAATACTGGCTGTTTCTTGAGCCCACAAGGGCAGTACTACTCTTTTTTTTTTTAAATACAGCTGATTTAAGCCAATACCTCAAGCATATGAGGCAAGTGTTCTGTCACTGAGTTCAGCCCAGCCTCAAGGCAGGACCACTTTTAACACCAAGCTCTTACCAATTTCCAAAGCCACAGTCCATCACAGCTTCTAAAAGTGCCATTTCTTCTTGAGCAGTCCAGCTGGGGTCAAGAACAGGAAAGTCTGAGGTCTAAAGAGAAAAAAAAATTTTTCTAAGAAATAGATAAAAGTAGAACCCAGGAATCTTCACTATAGTACTAGGGTTAAATGATTCTCTTGATGTTAAGAAGTATCTAAATTACATTCTTTTTTTAAATTTATTTGTGTGTGTGTGTGTGTGTGTGTGTGGCCAGATCAGTCCACCAGGGGGCGGGGCTGGCTGGCATGTGGTGCTGGGGGATTGAACCGTGGTCCCTGTGCTTTGCTAAGCTTGTTCTAAGTAGGTGCTTTAGACCATCTCACCATCTCACCAGCCATCTCACCATCTCACCAGCCCCTAAATTACATTCTTATCAGTTGTTTTCTCCCATTCCAATGTTCACCATTAGCTACAAAAGTTTCCAATAAATATTATCACCCATAATTGCTACATAACACATGAACAAGTACATAAACTTAAAAAAAAAATGTTATTTATGTGATTTAGTGAAAAGGTTTAGAAATGAGGACCAACCAAGTAGCATTTCTAGTGCATAGTTCACAATATTTTCTCTTCTTGGTATTTTCTGAGACAAGGTCTTTTTAAGTTGCTCAGGTTAGCCTCATACTCAAGATCTTCCTGCCTCAAGCTCCTGAGTAGCTGTGACTACAGATGTATGACACTGTATCCAATTAGAATTTAAACACTACTTCCCACTGAAAGGAACATGGGCTTAAATAACAGGCTGATGCCACGTCTCGGTCAGGAAATAAACACAGCCAGATTGAACGTTTTGTCACACTAAGAGGCTTAAGAAGCTCTCAAAGACTACGCAATGTGTGCTGTGTCAAAAGGATTCAGAAGCCAATTTGCACAAGCTCTTGCTAGCCAAAAAAGACAATGTTTAGAGTATCAATAGGATAATAATTGCAAAAGAGTGATACACAGCCAATAGTTTAAGTATCTGGTGGAGAGTCCAGATGAGGTGGCGCACGCCTGTAATCCCAGGGCTGGGGAGGCTGCAAACAGGAGGATCACTACGAGTCCAAGCTGTGTAGTGAGATCCTGCACAAACTCTAAATATATTAATAAATATCTGGAGAATGTCAGAAAAATAACTTTCAAAATTCACATGAAGAGCAAAATAATTAACATTTAGCCTGCTTTTGTTCAGGGTAATGACACAAATAATGATAAGAAGTGTCTTTTTTTTTTTTTTTCTTGGTACCGGGGATTAAACTCAGGACCCTGAGCTTGCCAGGCAAGCACTTATTCTACTGAGAAATCTCCCCGGCCCAGAGGTGTCTTTTTAAAAATTTCTTTTCCTCCATATTGCAGATTGAATCCCAGGGCCTGCTACTTGCAAGGCAAGTACTCTAGAGCTGAGGTATATCCCCAGTTGCTTCTATTTTTATTTTGAGACAGGGTCTCAAGAAGTTATCCAGTCTGGCCTTGAACTTGTGATCTTCCTACCTCAAATTAGTCAGAATTATAAGAATGTGCCATCACAGTGAGGTCTTATAAAGTATTCTAGTGCATAAACTGAAAGATCACTATTTTGCCATCTCTGAAGAGTTAACAGATATAGACAATGATAATAAATGAATGGGATATAGCAGTGAACATTATTACCAATGTACAGGAAACAAAGAAGACAAAAAATAGATTGCTCAGTAAAATCCAGATTGTTTTAACATCTTTAAGACAAACAATGCAGATTTTTTTAGTTTGGCATATGGCTTTTTTGAGACCGGGTCTTGCTCTGTAGTCCATCCAGGCCAAACTTGAAAGTGGTCTGTAACCCAGACTGGCCTTGAATTCATGATCTTCCTGAATGCTGGAATTACATGCATGTGCCACCACACCTTGCTAACAACCCAGTTTCTAAAACTCAAAGTTAAAAAGAATTTGAAATTGCTCAATACATGATGCCTAGAGGTTAGTACACATAGGAAACACACAAAGTGCCATGTCCCTTCCTGTATAGTTTTACTCAATGCATCTTTTACTTTTTTGGGGGCTGGTCATCTTTTAACATCTTCAGTGTTAAATCGTGTTGACAACACATACCTCAGATGTAGTACACGAGAAGGCACTTTACCTTCGTGGTCTTCCTAAATACTTACAACACAAATCTAATCATGATGAAACATCAGACAAATTACTGAGTATTGCACAAAATACTCATTAAATTGTTAAGGTAATGCATAACAACAAAATGCTCAGAAACTATCACATACAGGATGAATCTAAGGTAACACAGTGACTAAATTCAATGCAGGATCTTGAACCACAATTTCTTTTTCTTAATTTTGACAAGTGTACACAATACTGTAATGTACTAACTTGAGGAAGCAGGATGAATGGTAGACAGGAATCATCTATATTACGTTTGAACTTCCTTGCAGTAAATTATTAATAAATTATTCTACAAACTTAAAAAAAAGAATCAATAAAAAGACAAAGGAATAAGAAAAACAACCCACGAAGAATAGAAGCCATGTAAAAGACAGCCACTGGGTAGACTGAAATTTATGGAGCTTATGTTTATCTCAATGAAAACAAACTAGGAAAGGTTTTTTTTAAAAAAAGATGTCCATGGGGCTGGGGAGATGGCTCCGTAGAATAAGAGCTTCCTGGCAAGCGCAAGGGCCTGAGTTCAATCCCTGGTTCCGCCAAAAAAAAAAAAAAAAAAGATGCCCATGACAAAGTCAAAATGAGTGAGACTAATAAAGCCAAATGTTTGCAAGCATGTGAAGCAATCAGAATTGTCATAGAACAATGGAAGTATAAAATTATGCAAATACCCTTGGAAAACTTGTGATCATTTCTCTGAAAGTTAAACACTCAGCTAGGTTGGTAGTATACACCTATAATCTCAGCTACTCTGCAGGCCACAGCAGGAGGACCGCAAGTTAGAAGCCAGGTTGGGCAATTTTTTTATTTTTCATTTATTATTTTTGTATTTTAGGGTAGGGTCTACAGGGTGTTCAGGGTCTCACTACTAGATCAGACTCATAGTGACCCACCTATTTACAGCCTCCCAAGAGCTGGAATTACAGGCACACACCACCATGCCCAGTCTCAATTCCCATCCCAGCACGCCCCCGGAGGCGGGGCCAGCACAGCAGGCCCAGGGATTGAACCCCAACCCCTGTACCTGCTTGCAGGAGCTTTAATCCACTGAGCTATTTGGCTGGCCCTTTAGCTTGGGCAATTTAGAGAAACTCCTTATCAAAATTTTAGAAGTATTAAAAGGGATAGGGATATATCTCATAGGTAGAGAGCTTCCCAAATTCTACCACAAAAAAGAAAAAAAGGACAATACATGAACTGCCTATTCAGGCAATGGACTATCACTTAGTAATTAAAATGAATGATTATCATATGTGCAATATAAATATATCTCAAAAATTCTGAGCAAAAGAAACCAGAAATAAATACAAACAGTACAATCCCATTTATATGCAGTTCTATAATACACAAACTGATCTCATAAAAATCAGAATAGTAATTGCTTTAGAAGTGGCAAGAAGCAATGGGTTTTAAAAATACTTCATGAGATTCCTGGGAAAACGTGGAAATGACTGGAATTACTTAGATTTAATGAAACATTTAAAAGATTAAATGATGTAACATCTGGTGGGGTTGCCCCAAAATCATCCAAATGGATGAGGGTTTAGAAGAAAAAAAATTAGCATGAGTTTATAACTGTAAAAGCTAGTGAAGAATATATGGAAATTTATTAAATATATGTAATACAGTATAAACATTTGGTATTTATAGTTGGTTACAATGTTGGCCCTGATGAATTTCACTTAAATTCTCACTTAATACGGGTTGTACCTGGGACTTTCTTACAAAGGCCAAAGGCCCAGTGGCTTCTACTTTGTTTTGGTTTTTTGAAAAGAGGGTCTTGCAATGTAATTCAGGCTGGCACTGAATTCAAAGTGGTCCTTTTACCTAAACTTCCTAAATGCCAGGATTAAATGGACATACCACCTCGCCTGGCTGGCTTCTATTTTTTTTTTCTCAATTTTTAATTTTTATCACTACATATTTGGG